GCTGCTCCAGCACTCTGGAGCAGAGCACATGCTGTGCACCCATGGGCGGGGCCATGGGGGCGGGGCAAGCATCCCAGGGGGCGAACCACCCATAGGGGTGGATTGAGCAGCCCATGGTGGGCTGCTTCCAGGGCAGGGGGAGGGAGGGAGCCATGCCGCTTTGACAGCAGCCTTCCTCCCTTCCCTCTTCCTTTTGACAGTTCGGGGAGGCTCCCCACCCCCCGGAAGCAGACTGGGAGGGAGGGCAATGGTGCGCCACCCTCCCACGACTCCCAAGCCCCCCCCCTGAACTGTCAAAACAAAGGGGAAATGGGGGAAGGCTGCCTGCAAGGTGGAGCAGCTCCATCCCTCCCCCTGACAGCTCGGGGTAGGCTTGGGAGTTGTGGGCAGGCTACGCAACAAATGTCACCCCCCTTAGTGAGGGCACCTGGTGTGGACCGCCCCCACCGCCCCCCTTCCTCCGCCCCTGCACTTCCCCCGGCATTTTTCACAAAAGTGGTCCATAAAATATGTACTGCCTCATTGCCCCTTTGAATTGTGATGCAGATGTCTCCTTCCTTACAGTTCTTACTTGAATGTAAGAACTACGTGAGCAATAATGTCCATCGACATTATAAATTCTTTTCACCTAAACCATGATTGGGAATGAATATAAACAGTGAGAGGGGCTGAAAGGCTCTTCTGCGAAAACATTATCTAGCCTGGCGATGGCTGACTCAAATTAAGCCTTGCCTGCACTGGGGAACCATCAGTGCAGATCCAGTCAAAGTGTCTATATTCTGTTGAAGCAATTACTCTTGGCCAGGAGTCCAAAACCCATTTCTGGGAATCCTAGTAGAAAAGTGTGGTTAACATCCAGATTCCTAACAAGCAGGGGTAGAAAAATGTCAACAATGGTAAATCCAACTGTGATTCCAAGCTGGCAAAGTTGCTTGAAACTGCTCTCCATCAGCATTTGCCTATTTCCAGCCTTTAATAATAACATGCCTATATCAGACTATATCATATGCTTCTCTGCCTGTACACATGCACAAATAGGCTAATTTTGCAGCTTACATTTCCACTATAATAACCTTAGGGAGGAATAAGAGCAAGACAGGTATCAAAAATAGCATTTTTGAAGATGGGGACATCATTTGCCCACTTCCAGTCTGCAGGGACCTCACCTGATCTCCAAGAACTTCTGAAGATTATAGACAGGATTGACCAGTCCAAAATGACAAAAGAGGTGGTAAGGGAACACCTAGCTACTTAAAATGAATTCACAAATCCAGGGCCTGAAGAGCTGCACCCAAGGGAACTAAAAGAGCTGGTGTATGTTATCTCAGGGCCTCTGCCTTGATGCACACCACTTAGAGGCAACTGTAATTAATCAGTATATAAATTGTCAAAATAAATAAATAAATAAATATGAATTTGAACAGCAGCTCTATACTCTGTTTCCCAGAAGTGAGACCCATTGAACTCAGTAGGATTGAGAGCCAGCTGGTGGGAGGCCGGGTATGCTGACCATGTTGCCTATGTAAAATGTTAGATTATAAGCTCTGGAGAGCCAGCGTAGTGTAGTGGTTAAGAGCGGTGGACTCGTAATCTGGTGAACAGGGTTCGCTTCCCCACTCCTCCACATGCAGCTGCTGGGTGACCTTGGGCCAGTCACACTTCTTTGAAGTCTCTCAGCCCCACTCACCTCACAGAGTGTTTGTTGTGGGGGACGAAGGGAAAGGAGAATGTTAACTGCTTTGAGACTCCTTCAGGTAGTGATAAAGCGGGATATCAAATCCAAACCCTTCTTCTACTACTACTTCCGTGTAGACATTAGGCTTGGACAGTTGGCAAGAGTTGGCCCTGTGAGTTAATTAAACATCTCACTGCACATGTTCAAGCTTTAACGCTACTGAGATTTAGCGAGCAAAGCTTCTGTTCTTCTTTAGTCAGTGGAAATGTTTGAAAAGATTTCAACATTTTGTTTGGTGGCAATGACAACAGGCTAAGAAGATGCTCCCTATTCATCTCATTTCAAAACAATTAGTAAACCAAGGTGGGGATTACTGAGATATAATTTTGGCAAAAAGATATCCTTGGTAACTGTACTGTGATATACTGGATAAATGTGTTATGTCAAATAGATAAATCAGGCCATAGTGCAGAAAAGTGACCAGTCTTGTGGGATTATAGTTATTCTTTAATTTTCAGCTAATAGCTACCAATGCTCAAGTAAGATTTCATTTTTTCATCATCTGGTACTCAGATAACTTGTTCGTCTCAACATGGAGGTTTCCTCTCTGGGTGAGTCCAAATCTTTTTTGAAGCCATTTAATGTTAGGAGGTATCATCACATATGGTGATAGAGAATTCCATAGGTTAGTTGTGTATTTTGTGAATATGTGTTTGTTTGTTGTCTGTCCTAAACTCAGGGCCAAAGGGCCACCAATGTTGTATCACTCCAGAGCACGGAGGCGGGGAGAGATTTACATGGTATTCTAGGTCTACTCCTGGCAGTCAGTCACCAGCCACCACCGGACAGGTTCACCAGGATTCATGGGTTGTGGTGTTCAGCCTGGACACTGAGGTCCAGCTCTGAAGGCCTTCTGGTGGTTCCCTCACTGTGAGGAGTGAAGTTACAGGGAACCAGGCAGAGGGCCTTCTCAGTAGTGGCACCCATTCTGTGGAACACCCTCCCATCAGATGTCAAGGAATTAAAGAACTGCACAACTTTTAGAAGACATCTGAAGTCTTTAATGTTGAATGTTTTATTATGTTCTTTTATGTGTTGGAAGCCACCCAGAGTGTCTTGGGCAACCCAACCAGATGAGCTGGGTACAAATAATAAAATTATTATTATTGGATACTAAATCTGAGTCTGCTGGACCAAAAGCTCTTGTACATGTACAAAAGCACCAGTTGAAATAATCCTAACACGTCTTTTGCATTGGGATTAAAATAAATAAATAACCAACACCACCAAGTTAGTCTATGTGTTATCAAAAACATATAATAAATTTAATAACACATGCTTTGCAACTTTATAAAATGGTTGCAAAACCACAGATGTAAAAAAAAACCTGTTAATAATAACATTTTAATGAACAACTAAAATTATTGTGAAATACTTTGTAAGCTACAAACATCACTGAAGAAGACCAATTCATGGCCCAGACAACATTTGATATTTTTAAGCTTTTGTTTTTTTAACATTTGTGGCCTTACACGTGGTTTTAGAAAGGTAAATGCTAAATGTATTATATAATGTCTTTTTAGCAGACAATACAATTTGCTATATAAAGTATTCAGAAATGTATCAGTAATTACGCGGTAATTAAGAGAAGCAAAGAGAGGTAGAAGTAGTAAAAGAATAGTAATTTTTTTAAAAAGAAACATTGCATCAATTCACAGGGCACAATTAAGTAATAATAAAAGAAAGTGGATCTGTCTTTGCAGAGCAGATTATTATGTATTGGTTTTACAATATATACTCAAACTTGATGGTGTCTGGTAGTCTTCCCCTATCCCCAAGTGTTTGTTGTGGGTTTGATTTCCTTTCCTCCCCCCTTAGCTCTTCTTCTGCTTCAAAATGGGGTATACTGCAGAGGTGTGAACCCTGTCCATTATGGAATTTGGTGACCCTAGGAACATTACAATCAGCATTCAAAACTGAATTGCAATGCAGCTGAGAAGAAAAGGGAGATAAACGGTAAACATCTGAGGCAAATGTGCTTGTGATATAGCGGTGTACGGACACATAAATTATTTTTAGCAAGCCTACTACTGGCAAGCAGTTCAAAAGGAACGCAAGATAGGAGGGTATGGTGGCAAGGACGGTAGATCTAAGCGAAAGAAATGTTTGTTGTGGTTGAAAATAAATTGCTATTCAGGGAATGCTTTAAGTCCCAACAAATATGCACTCAATTCCTAGAGGGGTTCCTTAATCCTATCAGAGTTTACTTTCTGCCATAATCAAAAGTTATACTTTGGATTCAACTTGAATTAAAGGACACCCATGGCGAAGGGCTGATTCCCACCCCGACTCTCCCAATCAACAAAGAAGTGATCCAAGCAAATCAAAGGTTGCAGGAAGGAGGGAGGCACTGAGGAAAAATCAGACAAAATTTTCAATCAGGAACAATCAGGTTCTTGTAGATCTCCCCCCCCCTTCCCTTTCCTGCTTAACTAAGTAAATACACTTGCAGTTCCACTACTTTGCTGCACAGGAGGAGCAGCAGGAAGCGGATGGTAAAGTAACATGAGCAGCCGGGACTTTATTGAAAAAGGGAAATACAAGAGATATTGATATCATAAATTATGCAATGACAATATATGTGACCTGAAATATGTAAGGTAAGTAGATAGGCAGGCAGGTAGATCTGAGGATTTGCAATGCTGGTTACATAACCTTGTATGAACTGAAGTCTTTAAAGATGTTGCAGAGTTGCATTAACATCTCTTTAACGTCAAATATCTGCTCCTTGCCAAGGAAGTAATCGCAGGTGGGATGCGTATAGAACTCTCAGACAAAGAGAAAGACAGACTTATTTAACGAAAAGTCTCATGTCCTACCATGCCAGCAGGTTCAACTGAGGTGTTTCTAATACTTCCCAAATCTAAAAGGGGCCTGGATGTCAGAGGGCCGAACTACACATTACACAGAAGTACTTTTTGGAAAAGTAACTGCATTGGAAGGGAGAAATGGTTTGGATCAGGGCCATGGTGCTGTGAAAGGAATCTAACCTTTTAAGCCATCAACTTATCCCCTCCTGGGGGTGGGGAGGCATGTAAGCCCCACCCTGCATGATCGATCACATGACACTGCACGCACACACTATTTGAATTGTGATGACCATTGTGGCATTTGTACAGAGCCCCCAGTTGTCTCACGGACTATTGACCTGTACACCACTAATCCGCTGACACCAACCAGGTCCTCCCCGGTAAAATCACTTCAGCCTCAGTCAGGTTCTCAATTAATAAAGGTGTATTTTATTTCAGACACAAACAAACTTTTACGGCATTCCAAACGTTGTTGCTCTTTACTTTCTTAGTCTTATTTTCCTCTCTCTATCTCTTCTACCTCCCCTCACTCAAGAACCCATTGCCCTAACTGTCTCTCTATTACCAGCGGCCTACCAACTGCTTCTCCAACTGCCTTTCCTAACCAGCCAATCCACTAAAACCCAAAAACTACCCACCAACAGCTCCCAACAACAACTAAAACCTCGGGCTAAGCCCTTTTATACACAGGTAGGCTCCGCCTCCGGCTTTCCTATTGGTCTATATTTTTAACTCTATCTCTCCCCCCCCCCCGTTCCAACATTTTCTAAATGAACAGGCAAACGCCACAACCATCAACTCTGGAGGTGGACGGCCCCCTCAAATATTTTATTGGGGAGGAGGCCGAAGGGACCACAGACCCTAGGAGTTGGCTGCTGTGTCCCGTCCAAAGCTAATATCAGATTCTGGCAGTGATCTGGAAACTAATAGCAGCAGAAACAATCACCAAAATCAGTGACAGATTTTTGAGAGGGGTTGGGGATCAGATACCCTTTTTATGTCCAAGTGCCTACATTCTCTTTTTCTCTCTTTCTTAGCCTAAGTGGCAGTTTCACTTTTTCCTTTTTATCCAGATATTTCCACGACATGCCCATACATAAGCCCAAGGCACCACTTTAACTCGCTCCTGCTACTGTATCTTCCAGTCCCAGATCCAAACTGTCCCTGTCTACTTCTCCTAAAATTACTATGCTGCAAAATACCACGGCAGTTGAATTTCTCTACAATTGAGGCAACTCGTGAGGCTGTTAATCTGTGGACCCTTTTTGAGTTTTGTAAATAGATGTTGTTGGTTGTCATTTTCAGGGCCTCTATCATTCTGACTGGTTTCCAGAGCCATAAAGTTATGGGCAGTTGCTTTGTCTCATTATCTCTTGGAAAAATACAGGGTCTGCCTTTTTTTTCTTCTTCTTCTTCTTATTGCTCCACTAACTTCTCCAAACATTCATTTCACTTTCAAGAAGACAGAGACAACTGAAACCATGCAGAACCTATATTAACAAAAACAAGAGAATTCCAGCAAAGTTCTAAGCGCTAAAATAAACAAAACCCAAATAGGTTCAACTGCTAGGATTTTATTTTCCCTTCTCATTTTTCAGTTTTATATTGAAGAATTTAATAAGAAAAGCAGAGGGGATGGGGTAAAGACACGATTCCTGTGAAGTAACCCATTCAGACTAATCCTAGAAAAATACTTTTAAGAAGACAATGAGAGCTCTCTTGGATCAGACCAAAGACCCACATACAGACATGAGGACAGCAGCATTCTGCCTATTAGTGCAGACCCTCCAAATGTCCCTGCTTTCCAGGAACGTCCCTGATTTAGAGAAGCCACCCCAGTTTCTGATTTGATACCGGAATGTACAATTTTTCCTTATGATGTCCCTATTTTCACTGGAGAAATGTTAGAGGGTATGGAATTATCTGACCCCCGAGCCGTCTGAAGGCAATCCTATATAGGGAAGTTTTTTTAATGTTTAATGTTTCATTATGTTTTTATATATGTTGGAAGCTGCCCACAGTGGCTGGGGTAGCCAAGTAAGATGTGTGGGGTATAAACAGTAAAATTATCATTATGGAATGGAATGTCCCTATTTTCATTGGAGAAATGTTGGAGGGTAGGCTAGTAAGTCCCAGCACCAGCTGGTATTCAGTGACATACTGCCTTCAGTACTGGAGGAACTACAGAGCCTTCACAGCTATGGCAGTCAATGACAGCCTTATTCTCAAGGAGTCTAACCCCATTTCAAAGCTATCAGAGTTGAGGTACATTACTACATTCTGAGATAGCAAACTCTGTGCACTGTATGAAGAAATACTTCTTTTCGTGTGTGCTGAATCTCCCAGCATTCATTGCATCCCCTCCACCAACATTTCTCAGATGGGAATAAATACATCCTATTCTACCCTCCAACATTTCTCTGGTGAAAATAGGGACATCAAGAAGCAGGAACTTCCAGGATCAGATCAGAAACTGGGACGGCTTCTGTAATTCTGGGACTCTCCCTGGAATATCTTGGAGAGTCTGTATGACCCAAGGATCAAAAACCTTTCCTTACGCACTTTCTCCACACACCATGTATATTTTCATGCACCTTTAGGATGTCTCCTCTTACCTGACTTTATTCCTTAGCTAAAAAGCTCCAAATGTTGTAAACACAAAGGAATTCTTCCAACCACTTGATCTTTTGGGTTGCCCTTTGACTGGCTCTACAATACCCTTTATGAAGGTTGGGGACACGGTACCCATGTATGCCCAGTTTTCCATAGATCTGTATAAAAGTAATTTGATATTGGTGTTTTTGTCTTAAAGGTGTAGTGAGTGGCTGTATTGCCACTGTTGGCCTCCTCCTTTTCCCTAGTCCCGCTGATGGCAGCTGAGGCAACAGCATGAATACAAATTGAATCTCTGCACCATTGTGAGGGCGAGTCTGGATGTAGAATGGCTCTCTGGATTGGGCTATATCCTCCCCATTGGTTTTCAGAGAGTTTAAAAATGAGTACTATGAGAGAAAAGCATATAGAGGAACAGGCCATCACAACTTTAAAGAGACTGCACTAATTAATATTATCTGAGGAGATGGAAATCCATGTTCAGATCAGTTGCTTTAAAGTTACAGCACCATATCTGAGCTTCTTTCTTTCTTTTTTAAAGAGGGAAATGTATAATAACCCATGTGAATGATATTCTGGGCTGAGGGTACGCTATAATTTCAAAATAATTGCACATAAGCCTGGAATCTGAGCCGTGTATCTCTCTCAAAAGTGGAAATTTTATCCACTGCATGTGGACATTTATTAAAAATTAAACGGTGATAAATAATTCACAAGTCGCAAATCTGAATGAAGTTTCACAGTTTGGGAGGAATCTTAAGTAGCTTTTAATTATATGATTAACTGTTTCTTCCCTTCACCCCCCCCCCCCACCAAGGGCTGAAACCTCAGCTGCCTAGCCAATTATCACATGGATGTGTTTGTACTGTATCCACCTTCTCGTGGAAGCTCAAATTCCACCTTCTCTCTGCTAAGGGCAAGCTCCCGACTATTACTTGTAGCATATGGTAGCGTTTTATTTCATATTTCTATTTATAAATACTTTATTATTACTTACAAAACAAACTTGCACATTACACTGCAGCCTCGCTGGTTCCCAGCTATGCAGTAACACTGCGCATTCTTGCATTGCGCTTGCCTCAGCAAAACGCCCAGGTACGGCAGCCATTACTATAATTATAGCCTTTTATTATATCTCCATGTGTTAATTATTAAAAAAATAAAACATGTTATAAAATCTTAATTCCTTATTATCTTTTTACAGCTAACAGCTAGAGGAGCGTAATGAACTTTTCGTTTTCACTCCCAGCAATCTTATTGCATATTATAGCCAGAGCAAATATTATGCTTATGCTGAATGGACAATATTTGTCAGGTTATTTGGAAGGCTTTAAGTCTGTTGCAAAGGAAGCTAGGTTTCAACCAGGAACATGGCCTGCTATGATGCTATGAAGGCCCTAGGAGCTGATCCAGTGTGACCCATTTCCACATATATCAGTTCCTCCCTAAGTCACACAGAGCCAAGGAACACATTTTAAAACAACAAATGCTACAGCCCTTCCTGAAAAGTACCATATATGACTGCAGGGGGGAAGAATGGTACATTTGAAAACACATTATTTTGACGTAGGAAGAAAAAAAATGTCAAGGAGAAGACATTTTTCCACACTCTGCATGCACAGTACATAGAAGAACAGTGGTACCTCAGGTTAAGTACTTAATTTGTTCCGGAGGTCCATTCTTAACCTGAAACCGTTCTTAACCTGAAGCACCACTTTGGCTAATGGGGCCTCCCGCTGCTGCCGTGCCGCGAGAGCACAATTTCTGTTCTCATCCTGAAGCAAAGTTCTTAACCCAAGGTACTATTTCTGGGTTAGCAGAGTCTGTAGCCTGAAGTGTATGTAACCTGAAGCGAATGTAACCCGAGGTACCACTGTACAGTGGATGCTCAGGTTGCGAACATGATCTGTGTGGGATGCACGTTCGCAACCCACAGTGTGCGCAATCCACAGCGGCGCGTCTGCGCACGTGCTGGTTGCGACTCGATGTGTCTGCGTCTGCGCAAAGTGCAATTTAGCGCTTCTGCGCATGCGTGACTGCTGAAACCCAGAAGTAACCCGTTCCGGTACTTCTGGGTTTTGGCGGTCCACAACCCGAAAAAACGCAACCTGAAGCATCTGTAACCTGAGGTATGACTGTAGTCAAAATGTCAAATATGGAGTTCCCCCTCAAGTATCAAATGCAGTTATAAAATGAAACAGGCTCGGGGTGGCTGTACTGTTTGCGGGGAGCTGAATGTGAAGTATAGTTTCAGCCTCACAGAACAGCCAGATACTATTCCCCCCCCCCCACACACACACAAGCACAGAATAGAATAAAAGTTGCAGAGCTCCACTCAAGGAAGGAGGAAACGAGGAACAGTGAAGCAGTACCATACCACTTTAAAGAGTCATGGCTTCCCCCAAAGAACCCTGGGAGCTGTAGTTTGTTAAGGGTGCTGAGAGTTGTTAGGAGCCCCCCCTTCCCCTCACAGAGCTACCCATTCTAGAGTTCCCTGGGAAGAGGAGAGATTGTCAAACCACTCTTTGACAGGGCTAGAGGTCTCCTAACAATTCTAAGCACTCTTTTTTAAAAAACAAACAACTTTAAAAAAAACTACAGCTCCCAGGATTCTTTGGGGGAAGCCATGACTATTTAAAGGTGTACTGCACTGCTTGAAATGTGCAGTGGCTTCACCATCCTTAGAGCAGACCCAACACACAATAACTTTCTTTCATTTCAATGGGTCTGCTCCATGCAAGTTTGGATCAACCCATAGTCAGGTTGAACCGAAACTTTCCCTGTGCCTTATGGTTATTGTTTCTCCTCTACGGCGCTCTGAGCACATCAGTGGAAGAACAGGGTAGAAAATCATTAAGCAGCAGCACTGTCATTATCATTCCTGGAAGAAGCTGATTTGCTGATGTAACAGGTACCAGCTGGACAGCGGTGCAGACGCACCATCAGGAGAATCCGATTGGTTCTGCTGGTGCAACCATGCAGCCCAGGCCTCTCCACCACCTCCCCTCTCCTCCTCGGGTGACCAAGTGGCATGTATGGGCGCTAACTGGTGATGGGCAACCACAAGAGTCCTGCTCTCCCTTATTGTGGTTCTTTTTCTTTCTTCTCCAAATAGACATGTATCCTGTACAATACAGACCCTCCAAGTGTCCCTATTTTCCAGAGACAGTCCCAGATTTACAGAAGCTGTTCCAGTTTCTGATTTGATTTCAGAATGTCCCACTTTTCTTTAGGACGTCCCTATTTTCATCAGAGAAAGGTTGGAGGGCAAGGACTTATGCGACCCTGGAGCCAAATTTCTATGCAACCTTTAGAGGGCACCTGAAGGCAGCCCTGTATAGTTTTATCTTGTTCTATATACGTTGGAAGCCACCCAGATGGGCAACCCAGTCAGATGGGCGCGATGTAAATAAAAAAAGTGGTGGTGGTGGTGGTGTTGAATAGGACGCCCCTATTTTCAGTGGAGAAATGTTGCAGGGTATGAAAATATAGGCATGGCCTTTGTCAAGTAAAGCACATGCACTCTTTGCTGGGAGTGAGTCCCACTGAAAATAATGGGGCTTCTAAGCAGAATTGTGTTGTCAGTAGCTTTGTATACAATGCTATTGAACTACAAACCTTACTGTATGCTTGTGAAACATGGACCACTTATAAACACCAGCTCCAGCTCCTTGAAAGATTCCATCAACAGTGTCTCTGAAAAATTTTACACATCACTTGGGAAGACAGACAAACTAATACCAGTGTACTGGAAGAAGCAAAGATCACCAGTGTTGAAGCAATGATTCTTCAACATCAACTTCGTTGGATTGGACATGTTGTGTGGGTGCCTGATTATCACCTTCCAAAGCAACTACTCTATTCCGAACTTAAAAATGGAAAGCATAATGATGGTAGTCAACAAAAGAGGTTGAAAGACTGTCTCAAGGCAAATTTTAAAAAATGTACTATAAACACCAACAATTGGAAAACACTTCCCTGCAAGCGCTCCATTTGGAGAACAGCCTTTACCAAAGGTGTAATGGACTTTGAAGACACTCAAACTCAGGAAGCAAGGGAGAAAAGTGCTAAGAGAAAGGCACACTTGGAAAGCGTGTTCTCCTTCATGGAGAGCACGTGTTGCGGTGGGGTCTGCTGAGGTGGGGTCTGTTACCAGGCAGGGTCTCTAAAGATGGCCTGGGGCAGTGATTGGTTCACTGGGTTGCTGGGGTAAAAGTTATGTTGCAATTTTGGTGGGAGGGGTAAAATGTTTAAATACTCTGCACGCAGCCTGGAGCTTTCTCTTTGCTGCGTGCAACGGATCACCCGCCCACCCGCCCTTGAGTAAGGGGTTGTTGCATTGACCTTGCTATGCCTGTCATGGGGTCGTCTGCCGTTGGGGCAGGGGCCTGGTAGGAATTTTGTCCATCTGGCTGATTGGCTGGGCCATTTGGTTTTTGCCTACTGCGTAGCAAATCGTCACAACTTGTAAGGTTGTGGTTAGGCATTGGTTATAAATTGGTGGAGGAGGGGTTAGGATAGGCTGGGCCTGCCCCTCCATGGTTGCTGCGGAAAGGGAATTCCGTTAAAGGAATCCTGGGGCTTGCCATCTTTTCGTCCAATCCCTGGAATGGGACTAGGGCCGGCAAGCCTTCGGGGAGCATGCGGATGAGAATTGAGGGTCTGTGGCCCAGCTCCATTTTCTCCGACTTGCTTTCCCCCGCACTGTCTTTCGGTGGTGCCCGGAAGTCAGTTCTGTCCCCAGGCGGGGGACAGATAGTCTTAACCAATGCCTAAACAACCACTCACGGTTTTGTATTTAAATAAAGTTGTGGCCAAAATTATGCCAAAAACCTTAAACAAAAATTAAGTGTGCGTTGTGAGTTATTTGGGGGGTGGCTTGGGGACCTCGACACGCAAATCCACACCATGAACAACTCCCGCCTGGAAACCAATGTTCCCACAGTGGAAGGACACATGGATCCAGAATTGGCCTCCACAGTCACTTACGGACTCATTGTTAAAACCGTGTTTATGGAAGACAATCTTACTTGGCTACGAGTGATTGCAGAAGAAGAAGAAGAAGAAGAAGAAGAAGAAGAAGAAGAAGAAGATACAAAGTTCCTTTTGCTGTAACGGCACAAGCTTTTTTTTTTCTTTTTACCAAGTATTGCTGAAGCAACTCCATAGGACCAGGTTATTCACATCCATTAACATATTGGAGTTAATGACCCCCTCTTGCTGTAGTTTAAGCTCCAGAGACTTTAGCCGAAAGAGTTTGTAGCATGAAGAGCATCGTCCTCTAGAAGAACAGATTGTGGTGTAAACAGCTTGTGATGTATATGGTCTTCTGCCAAAGTGGGAGTCATTGCTTGTCCCCGTGTTCTTGTTTGCGTGACCCTCCACACAAGAATGAAGATATATAGCATTCTGTCTCCCTCGCCAGGTGGGAAGCAGGTGGTGTGCCTCGGCCATATGGGGTGACAGCAGCATCTCTCAATTAATACTTGAAAATGAATAAATAGAATGTTTTAATAAATGTTTCAGTAGTTGTAATAGAAAGGGGGGGAAAGGCTTTAAGAAGCTATTATGTCTGGGGCTCTTTTGTTACAGTGGAATTGAAATGACTTCCTTCCATTTGAATTTGTTTTCATGAGCGTTAAGAAGTGCTTTCTGCTCCCCCCGTTATTCAGCCTTTATGACAAACATATTCACACTGTTTTTGGCACTGTTCTCAGAGTCCTCTTCCTCCTTCTTTGCTGTCATGCTCCTCAGCTTCATTTGCCCACGCTTCAAGTTAATCCAATTGGCCTGTCACATTTTGTCCATAGCATGACAATGTTACTACATGGATGATATATCACAGATCTTCATCAACAAAATCATGGTTGCTGCCATGGCTGGAAGGCGTGAGCATTCTTGTGGAAATTGAAGTAAGGCCCAAAACATGTTGCTGTTTGAGGTGGAGCAACAAATGGCACACATACAGAGAGTGAGCGGGGCTTCCACAAATAATCCTGGGAACTGTAGTTTGCAAAGGATGCAGAAAGTTGTCAGGAAATTCCTCTTCCCTTCAGAGAGCTGCAATTCCCAGAGTTATCTGGGAAGAGGAATTGATTGTTAAACCACTCTGAGGCTTGAAGATCTGTGAGGTAAACAGAAGTCTCCTAACAACTCTCGGCACCTTTAACAAACCAGTGTTCGCAGGGTGTTTTGGGAGATGCCATCACTGTTGAAGTGTATGAATGATTTACATCTACTGTGTGGTTTTGGCCTCAGTTTCTAATTTTTCCAGTCTTAAGTTGTTTTCCACGTTTCCACATAGATTTACATTTTTTCAAAGTCCTTCTGAAGATTCTTATTTTATTTATTATTTGTTTATTTTATTTATTATTAAATTTGTATACTGCCCTATAACCGCAGACCTCAGGGCAGTTCATCAACATTTAAGTGCAAATTTCTCCTAAAATATGCATTTATGTATCTAATTTTGTATACTATACACATTTTTTGCAATGAAATTTCCCCTAAGGTGATACATATTTGTGTTGTTGTTATTTGTATACCGCCCTGTACCCACAGGCCTCTGGGCAGCTCACAAGATTAATTAATTAATATATGAACATTATTAATATATCCTGCTGCTTCCCTTCTCCCCAGCCTCCAGTGCAAATGAAGCTGAAAGAGCAGCACCAGTGATAGGTGTGAAGTGGCAGCAAAGCAGGAAGGTTGCTGGGCAGATGCCCTGGCTTGTCCTGCCTGTTCCTCTGAGGCTCACCTGCCTCCCTCCACTTGCATGCCTGGGCCACCTGCCTGCTGTTCCGTGGTCATGCTGCAGTTCACATGACCGTCTATTGTTAGCCATGAAAACTGCAGCGTGACAACATCCTTACATTTGCATGTATATAGGAGGGAAATTGTGGCCCTGGTATAAATCCATTACTCACACCTCATGTCTTCATGGATGTGGCAGGAAACACTGAAGTGACCTCCGGCAAACACAGTTGCTGCCTGAAATGGAAAATAGGTCTGGGACTCCTTAAACTGTCCCAAGAATTCCCTCCCTGATTTGTATATCAGTAATATACATGCGTGAATCCTTGTGATGCATTTTTGTGTGGGTCAGGGAAAGGACAAAAGTAGTTTGAAAGAAAAGTAGGGAACAATATAAAATATTATTATTATTGAATAAACACACATTTTTGTATCAGTTTCCCCACTGAATGAGTCATGATGGATGAAATAAAATGGCAGGGGGCAGCCTGAAGATGTAATGTGAGAGAGGGAAAATTGCTTAGAGAGTATCTGAGATATCACTAGTTGCTAACTCAGAAGCTCCTCTGTTTAGTGTCTAACAAGATATCCTGGTTTGCTCTAACAAGTACTCTGTAGAAACCACCATACCTGCATCTACAGGAGCCTCGTCTCATATAGGTCATTTAAAACGGAACTTGGCAAAGGATTGAAACAATAATCATTTTTAAAAATGCCACAGGGAATATTGCTATATTAGCAAAGAAATGCACTAAATGACCTATAAGGGATTTTCCATCTCTAACTTCTGTTACTAGAGCTGTATTGTTGCTTTATAATGTAGTTTTCAAGTACAATCTGGTCCCTATAGAAAAATAATTAATGGAAACAAGTATGAGCTCTGGAGCAATATGTTATTGTTAACATTAATCTTCAAGTGAAAGGAAAACAGTATTAGCTTGTTTGTAAAGAAAATCTTTAAAAAAGGAAAAGAAAATTTAAAGCCACATGTCTTTAAAATGAATTTTCAAGGTAACCCCTACTGTGGTGTTAATAAAATGGGGTGCCTGGGAAGAAGTGCCCTCTTTTCCTTGCAGAGAATGTTAACAGTGGGTGAAACCAATAAGATGGTGAGAGAAGAGGGCTGAACCAGATGGTACAGCCCTAACCGTAACCAGAGAAAACTTTATTTGTTTATTTTTATTTCAGAAGATTTTTATTTCAGAAGATTTCCATACTGATTGACTGTAAGCAAAACAAAGTGGTTTACAAAAAGGAAGGAGGAACCATTTGTACTGTATCCTTTCATGGCACACCAACCCAATATGATGGGACTCGCAGAAGATTGCAGCTTCTTTTTCCATTACTATAGAAGCCGTAAGACGAGGTTGGTTTCAATGACTCCTGTCCTCCCGCAGGACATCAGTCATTTGCACAAGTGAGCAAGCAGCAGTAATGTCTACATGATCACAACGTTGGTGCTGCATTTGGGCAGCAACTGATGTGACCCAGCCTTCAGGGAGGAATGGAGCCAAAGTCTCACTTGGGGACAGGACTGCAGCTGTTTTTGAATACAGAAGGCCCAAATTTCAATTCCTGGCATCTAAACATAGGAGCGGTGCCTGAAACCCTGGAGATTTTTTTGCTAGTCAGAGTAGACAATTCTGAGGTAGGTAGAACATTGGTCTGACTTGCTGGAAGTTCCTATGTTTGTAAGTTATTGGTTCATGTGTTCTGGCTTCAGAGTTGTCAGCAATCCTGGGTTTGTTTCTTTAAAACACGATTCCCCCCCCCCCACTCAGAAAGACATTTACAGGAAGAAGTGTGCTTTTGATTCAAAACATCAAGAGAAGGAACAGAGGGAGGGGGAGGCTCTCAATAATTTAAGGCAGTCTCCTCATTTGATAACCATTCTCTCTCTAATCTCTTGAACTTCAGGACCAGAGAGTTTGAGCAAGGCTCTGGCACCAAGTCAGGAAATGAGACATCTGCAGTGGGGCGGGGGGGGGCAGGGGCTGGAATCCAGAAGGCAGACTATTAACCAAGCCATATTTTCCATAGAAACTGGTTTTTCTCCTCTTCTGAAATGCAGAATTTAGAAAAAATGGCATTAAGCTGCTACGACATGTCTCTGCCTACAAGGAATGTGCACACTGCTCAGAAAGAAATTTGACCATTGTCAATTCATAGTTCTCTTTCCATCGTACTGGGAAACTAGAAAAGCCAGGATCCCATTAAAAATTGTTTCAGGACAACAGCAAGAGAAACAGGATCAAAAATGCCTCTGTGCAAAAATGCCCCCCCCCCCCAAAAAAACCCCGCATCATACCAAACCTATTTGCACCCTTCTTATATTTCCTCCTGTCTCTTCTGAGGCCAGGTAACCTCTTTTTTCCCTTCTCCATGGGCATGCTTAACTGATTCAGTAAGTAATAGAGGCCACCTGCTTTAAAAGTCTGCTGTGCTAAGAATCTCCATCTGCCTTCTCACAAAACCTGGTAAACCCGGGAGACAGGATTTCTCATTATCTCTTCAGAGCTTTTCTGTTCCAGATTCCACACAAAAAAAAGTATTCCGAATTCGGGTATCTCCAAAAAGTGAGGGGGTTTCTTTTTTTTCCTCCTTCAGAGTCAGCACTGGATTTCCAGACCATCACCTGAGTGACTCAGGATCCCGGCAGAAGCACCTCCCTCTGTATGCGGGTGAAGTCTCCTGAATCAAAAGTAGTCCACCTTTCTTCCTGATCGTAATTTTCCTCTCTTTTTTTCATTCCTATTAAGCTGCATGACATCCTTGTAGCTACTGCTTGAATAAAAGAAGTGTTATCCTCGTTTTCAACATGACCTAGCAGCTAGGGGGGGAAACGGTTCCAGCATCCAAGGAATGGCAGCTATTCAGTACTGATCAGTAGCACCTTTATGGGCGAGGGTGTGAGAACAGATAACATTTCACAAGCATCTTTCAGAGACAGAGAGCAAGGCAGAGCAGCTATATCTCTGGTTTAACAACACATCTCCTTGATGGAGTGTGTAAGAACCATATTAAAATACTTTTGCATTATATTTTATGCTAAGCATGCTAGCCACAAACTATATGGGCCACTGGATCATTCTAAAAGAAGGCACAGGATCGAAGAGTCAAATGCACCTTTCTATATCACAGAGGGAGAAAGTCCAAATTGGCATGGCTTTCTTCCCTAGGCAGGAAACTGCCACAAACATATGGACAATGGGTGGTTTTCTGGCAATACGCCTCTTGTTTCTGAAGCTCCTACAATAATCTTCAAGGAGGCCAGAAGGCTGAAGGTGGATTGATTCTTGTCCTTGGGCTACTGGCTGCCAGTTGCCACCCCAGACATTCAGGCAAATCAAATCCTGCCCATTGTGTTATTTCCAATTAAACACAATTAGAGGCAAAGCCTGAGAAATACATTCACAGGTTCCTGGCATCTCAGCATGCGGATCTCAGATCAGTGAACCAAAGCGACCTGATTACAGTCCAGCATCACAAAGTCACGAATGAGGAACTTTGCACTGATAGTCACTGGGTTCAATCCAGGCTTTTCTCTCAGCAAATGGAAGGGTGCTTTCCATTTGTGGAGGGAACCAGGAACCAACACAGTCTCACTGGTAGAGGATGGTGTGGTGTGGTTATTTTGATCAGCCCCCTCTTACCCCCTTCGGCCCATAGCACCACCTACACACCATTCCAGAAAGTTCTCCAACCTTCTGAAGCGGCATTTTGGGGTGGGATGTGGAACAGAGGGAGCTGCAGAACTCCTTGGCTCAGTACCCAATATCATTTGAATGCATGTTCATGTTAATTTATCTGCTTTATACGCAGGGACATGTTTGATTTTATTCATAAAACTTTGTGCAGGACTGAAATGCACCTCAGACATTAAAGAATGAAACTCTGCAATACAGACGCAGAGATGACAGGCATATGAAGACAAAGAAAGGAAATCTATTTTACATATAAAGAAAGGAATGGAACTAAAATGACTTCAGACATGTCTGTTTCTATTTCATAACGTTTGTCCTGGAGCTTTAGAAGAAGAAGATGAAGAAGAAACTATTACAGAAAGGGGCCATCGAAGAAGAGCAAACCTTGTAACCTTTGAGGCCTCAGATTCCTAGCAGAAAGCCCTGCACTGAGATTGTGTTTTAATGAAAAACAAGCACTGGGGGTATTAAACACACCCAGCATCCCAATACGGACTCCACATGTATCTCTCTTTAACATTGACATTTCCTGAATTAAATCTTCCCTGAAGCAAAGAAATCGGGACGGAGGAGGGAGCTGTGAGGAGCTTTCAGCAAAGCTTCACAGCTGGCTCCGAATGAGTTGCAAGAATGACACGTTCCTAAAGAATGTTTGACGAGGTGAGGTGGAAAGGAGGTGGAAGCGTGAAGTCAAATGTGCACTGCTGCCTTCTCTTTCCAAAGCAGAGCCAATGTTTTCTCTACCAGAGCACCTGCCTAGATGCCAAGGGTCACATGGCTTGGGGGCAGCACAACTCCCACCATGTCCTGAACCCACAAGAGCTTAAGCTCTGGTGGGGGGCAATGGTGAACATGCAAGCCCCACCTTCCAACGTTCCCACGTGTAATCAACCCCATGTGCGTTTACTCCAACCAGGGATGGGGGGAGATTTGAGTAAGCTTGCTTTGGGGGGCAAGCCTATGAAACAGACACTTTCCGACACGAACTGAAACACAGCCATCCTTCAGAGTTCATCCTTCAAGCTGCACACATAAGGGCAGCTAGGACTGGAACAACGAGAAACTGGGAGAACCAAAATTGACAAATTAATCCATCCCTGACACCAACCTTTCCATACTGAGTTGGGAATGTCTTCAAGGGGCTTTTGCTTGTGTTTGGCTGAACATCAGTAGAAAGCCTGCACCATTTTATTGGCGTCCTTTGCCACATGGAGGGCTCTCTTTGTGTCCAAGCAATCATGAAACCACTCAGTGTGGGAAGGTCAGGGGGTGAGTGGGTAAGACCAATGCATATATGTTCCCCTGCCCTCCTTCACAGGCAAAAGCCTGTAGACCTACAGACACCACTGTTACTGCAAAAAATGGAAGTCAGTTAAGAAATCTTCTTTTCGTTTTAAACTGTTTTGCAATAACAGTCACGCCATGATGTCATGTCACCACTAAAGGATGGCTCTTGGAATGCTTTCTCTAGATGCACACATGTGAACAGTGTTTGGTCACCCACACAGTTTTCTAACAGTTAGTAACCTATCACCTGATGTCACCTCAAAAGCAATGTGCTGACATGGGGTCATATCACGCCCTGAACTACCAGTCGCCAAGGGCAGATTGATTGGGTTTTTAAAAAGCAATTGATATGCATGCATGTATGAACCAGTCCTTAGTGTCCTTTTCACATTTCTTTGACTGACCCAGAAATTAAAATGCATGTTGGATAAAGAGAGAGAAAAGGGTTTTTTGCGGGGGGGGGGTGTTTGCTGCTGATATGAATTGCTTTAAGAACCAAGGGGATATCTCTTTAGCTTAGCACGCAAATGTGTTAGAGCTGGGCTGGTACATTATGCTGCTTCATAGTGGATGTATCCAAAAGATTCCCACATGGCCATTCAAATACTACACTGCTCATGATTTTCCCAATGCAACAATTAAGCCTGAAAAATACAATATTTGACGCAAGCCCTGGCAAGAATAATGAGTTGAAATGAGAATAATGAGCTATGTTAGAGGCTATTTTTGAGGAATGGTATGGTAGGAGAGGGACTGTGGCTCACCAGTCGAGTGCTTGCTTTGCATGCAAAGGATCCCTGGTTTAATTCCAACTATCTCTAGGTAGGGCTGGGGAAAGACTCTTACCTGAAGCCATGGAGAATCATCAATGTCAACATTACTGACCTTGATGGCCAGTGACTTAGTATAAGTTAATATCTCTTTTCTCCAATTGCCACTTCAATAGCCACAAAGAATTACTGAAGGCAATAGTCGGAGTGTCTGCTGTCCTCCACTCCCCAAAAATAAGCAGAGGAAGGGTCTTAATTTTTATCCATAATTCTTGTATTTACTTATCCACTCCCCCCTTTTTTTAATTCTTCAACACGGTTCACTCAAGCCTTGGAAATATAATCACTTGATGAACGGTAGTGTAAAAAGGCACAGCTTCCTCCTTCCTCCTCAGCCAGAGCGAACATTTATTCAACTAGGCAACCCTTGCTGGCTTGACGTTTTATCAAACGGTCACAGCATAGCAAATGGCAGTGTGCAATATGAATGATTAAACCTTTCTAATTATTTCAGGGTTTACCATATCCTGCCCATCTAAGCCTGCTTTAATTGAAGGACAAAAAAGATCTCTAGTTGATAATATATAGTCTTCAATTGGCAGATAATTATCATACGCCGTTCTGGGGAGAGTTCTTTGTAAATCTCAGCATATGTCTTTATGTTAAACAATTAAACTACATCTGGATACAGAGAGCAGATCAGCTCATCCCTTGGTGGGCTATGTAAAGAAATGGATTCATTGGTCAGACGACCCGAAAAAGAAGAGAGAGAGAGAGAGAGAGAGAGAGAGAGAGAGAGAGAGTTATAACCTTGGATGGAATAGAATTTGGAGATTAAAAAATGAGCAGGTGTTTGGAAGCAAATTCCCATAATGAAATACGTAGTTTTAAACTGGCAAGGGCATTTAAGCAATAATGAGGAGATGTCATACATTTTATGCAAAAGCACCGGAGGGAAAGACTTTGCTACATGAAATCATAGACGCACTGAGATTCTCCAAACTTAAGCATGTAGCCTCAGGGCCTCTGCATTCAGCATAGTTTCCCCTGGAAGTACAATGGCCCTGGAACTGGAAGGAAATACTTAGGACTTGTACAGGGGCGAGACTTTGCTGTTTTCGAAAGTCACTTTTGGGTTGCAAGGCTTATATCTGCCTCCTCTTTGGGCTGGAGTAAGTGAGCTTACCTGTGCTCAGGCTGGAGATTGCCACTGCTGGCGATGCTCCACCCATACCATCCTAATGTTGTTAGAATAACGAATAGCTTGGACATCTACCAGACAGTATATAATAATAATAATAATAATTTATTATTTATACCCCGCCCATCTGGCTGGGCTTCCCCAGCCACATGCCTACCAAGTGTCCCGATTTTGCAGGGACAGCCCCAGAATTACAAAAGCCATCCCAGATATGATCCTGAAATGCCCCTAATTTCGTCCACCATTGCTGCTGCCTAGCTCAAGGAGGAAGATGAGCTGTCACTTGTCCTGAGTGACAGCGGCAGTGGAGGTGATGAAGAGGGAGCATTCCAGTATCATTTTACATGAGCATATCATCCCAGTTATCTTTATAATTTCCATCTGTTCCCATATCTTTCCAACCAGTTTCTCAGCACCCAGCTCTGCTTCCATAGTTTAGTGAACAGTATCCTTGCTATACAGTAGTTAATAGATACAATACCTTTGTTTGATGCATTTTGATATTCCAATTACTTTGGAAGGCATAATCAAGACTCTGCATTTATCTGAACCTGGGACATTCCTTTAATCATTATTACCATTTGCCAGTATGCTTTAGCCCTCTTACAACCCTTTGTTCTCATGGCATATCCAACATTTGTTGTTTCCTGTTTTATTTATCTTTTTATTCTTCAGTGGGGTCCAGTTCCATTGTACTGCCATTTTTATGCAGTTCTCCTTGCATTACACTGCTGTCAAAAAGTTTGAACCCTTCTTGAATAAGAAATCCCACCCTTCCCTTGGTATCTCATATTGCATACTTTTGTTCCATTTTATCTTATAATTATACACTGTTTTACTGTGTTCCTCCCTCCCCTGCAATAGTTCCGTAGATTTATGAAATTTTCCGTTTTGGGGTTTTTCCCCCGTAACAACATCTCAAACTCTGCCTTCTCTTCCCAAATCTCTTGATTATTTATCATTTGATTCACAAAGGATCTAATTTGTAGCTATTGATAAATAGATGGCACTTTCTACATTTTTTCTTTCACGTTCTCAAAGGTTTGTATACGCTTCCAATCCTGAAAGCATTCTAGCTTATTTTCTTTCCACAGTTGGAAATTTCCCAATCTTCCCTCTGAGTTAAATCTTTCATCGTCTGTAACAAAGCTAACAGGGAGGTTTTGGGCTGATAAAACTTCCTTATAACAGTTCCAGGTTTCCAAACAGATGTTTATTTCACACATTATCTTTTCCCATTCTGCCACCACCACTTTCGATCTAGGTACTAACCAAGTCTGTTTCTTTTTTCCCAAAATGAATGGTTTTTACTTAAGGGTTCAGAAATACATCAAGCAGTTTCTAAGAAAATTATTTTAGGGGGGCGGGGACTGATTTTGCAATCAAGTGGTTACCCATAGGAGCAAATTAAGAAACAAACAGATGCATTCAGCTGTATCTATTCTAGACAGTTAGGTTTCTGGGTCTGAACCAATTCTGAAATGTAAATAAAGTTTTGGGGAGCACATTCATTTTTATGATGTTTATTTTCTCAAGTAGTTAACCAGACACTTGTATAGGTTCCTTCCTATTTGCCCAGACATTGTAGATGTCAGCTATTCTCAACCTGTGGGTCCCCAGATGTTGTTGGACTACAACTTCCATCATCCCTGAGCTCTAGCCTTGCTAGCTAGGGGTGATGGGAGTTGTAGTTCAACACATCTGGGGACCCACAGGTTGAGAAAGGCTGCACTAAGTTATACTCACTGGAGTTGGCCCGCCGAAATCAATGCATGTACATCCATAGATCTCAATGCGTCTACTCTGAGTTTGGCTTATGTTGGATTACTACCCATTAAATGTATATGTTACAGGAAGTTTCCCCAAACCTTTAAGAAATACTTTTTAAAAATAAAGACTTCTGCTCTAAACTAGTCTATGAGCTGATACACAGAGGCATGTTCAGCACTTGATGGCTGAAGAAGAAAAAATAGTGACTCACTATTTTGTCAGTGAATCACCACTGATCAAATACAATAAACAGAACTTTCTTATTATCTCGTGTCAACTCAGCCACAATGCTTTTCCGTGTATGTCGCCCACAGGTTTAGCTGTATATGATTCAAGTCCTGAATTATCAAGTAATGAAGAAAGGTCATAGGCGTAAACATTTGAACTTGCCTGTTCCCTAAAGAGCATATGGATACTCCTCACTGTCCGACTCTGTTGGAAGAATATAAAAGAGGCATTTCTCATCTGAGAAGAGACAGGTGCTTTTTTAAAAGAGTTTCAGATCTAATGAAGTACATCAGAAAGAAGACAATAAATAGGAGAAAGAATGGAATGACAGTGTGACAAGGGAAAGGAAGGAAGGAAGGGACCTATGTGGAATAAATGAAAAATGTTTTTGAGCAGGTTTTAATTCACACATTTGGGAGAAAAGAATATCACATCAGCATTGTATGTTGTTAATATAATAATGCTGGCAGTAAATGATGGAATACCCTGGAGACAGAAAAGGCAGCAACACAACAATAGATATTTTAAAAAATACTCAGAATGCATTGTTGTTGCCAGTGTTTGGTAGCGTTTCATACTATTTTAGTAATACCAAACGGTACAGAATATATCATTATGGTCACCTGAAGATCTCTCTAACCAGTCTTGAACCTAGTGTTAAAGTAATGAACCATTTTCTGTCGTTCGAATACAAGCCCATTTGTTCATGTAGTAAGTACCACATAAGATGAGGTGTGTTTTTTCCCCCTTTTAAATGTGTATTTAAAAAGAAGAGGAGGGGAAGGAAGACGAATTCTTCCTTCCCCAGGCAAAATGGTTTCAAAAAGTTTGGTAGGGGGAAATCGGCAATAACTGCTGTTGATGTTTTGCATGCTGTGAAACGTGTAAGAAGATAGATATTTCTTTAAAGATCAAGAGAATAGAAAAGATGTGCAACAAAAGGAGAGAGAGAAAGAATTTGAGTATTTAAAAGGTAGAGGAGAGAGGGAGGGGGAGGGGAGCATAAAGGCAGAGAAGCAACTAAGCCATTTTGATGCCTGAGCTGCCACACCCACCCACCTCGCATGCAGCTACTTGCTCACTGAACACAAGCCCCTAAATTCCCCCAAGACTTCAGCAATATATTTGCTGGGATAGACCGGAGGGAGGTGTCTCTAAGGCTTCTCCCTATGCAGCTTGACCTCAGTCTGTGGACACAGGGTTGCCAGTGTGGTGTAGGGGTTAAGAGCGGTAGATTCGTAATCTGGTGAACCAGGTTCACTTCCCCGCTCCTCCACATGCAGCTGCTGGGTGACCTTGGGCCAGTCACACTTCTTTGAAGTCTCTCAGCCCCACTCACCTCAGAGTGTTTGTTGTGGGGGAGGAAGGGAAAGGAGAATGTCAGCTGCTTTGAGACTCCTTCGGGTAGTGATAAAGTGGGATATCAAATCCAAACTCCTCCTCCTCCTCCTCTTCTTCTTCTTCTTCTTCTTCTTCATCTTGCCATACATCCAGGAAAACCCAGACATGTCCTCTTTTGGGACAGATATTTACATTTTAAAGGAAATGTCTGGGTTTTTGGAGTTTATATTATTTTATTGGGGGGCTTGGGGGGCTCACAAATGCTTGGGAAGTCACTGTGCCCTGGAGGTGGAAGCGCTGCAGCAAAGCAAAGCTGTCACAGTGAAGATCTGATAGGAGCTGGGGTCCTGCCTCCGCTCAGGCTGACAGCAGCTCAGGCTCGGGCAGCTTGGGCTTGGGCTGCTCCACACGATGCGGCCACTGCCTGCCCAAGCTGGGGAAATAGGTGTGCCCATGGCCATGCACCTCTTTCCCCAGCTTGGGCTGGCAGCGGCTTGGGCTGTCCTCTTTTTTGCTCTTCAGGATATGGCTGTTGGCATGCAGCCAAGGAAACGGGGGCAATTGGCAGGCCCCCAGCTGCCTCCAGCCCACCGGCCAGTGTGCCGGACGAACTCCAGTCCTTGGTGCAGCATGAATCTGCGACCCGAGCTTCAGAAGCTAGGGCACACTACTCAGCAGAGTAAACGCTACGCAACAGAAGTGGCAGGAGAGGCCGTGTGAGCATATTTACAAGCAGTTTACTCAGGGTACATCAGGACAAAAGGAGACATGTCTGATCTCCTTCATGTCCAAAGCAGGACAGCTAAAGCTATACACAAACGTAAGTTCCCAGCAAGCTGTGCTGGAGTGTAAACAGGCATGTGACATGCAGCAATCCACACGTCTGTTCTTAAGGTGGAATGGATCTTGTTTATTAGCTTCCATCAGAAAAGCTTGGCTACTTTGTGAATAGGGTCCTAGATTTGATGGGCAACTGGCCTGATCCAGGAGGCTATACAAGTTTTGGGAAAGTCATGCTGTATCCTTTCCAATCAGTGCATATCCCTGAAATCCTATAATTTATTTCCTTACATTGCATTATAGCCCCAACTGACAACAGTAACGTGGTACTGCCAGGGAAGCATTACAGAACAACTTTTAAAGCAGAATAAATCTACCACCAATGCACTATTATTGCATTAAAGACCTGTTACAGAATATACCTGCAATAAAACACCAGTCTGGAGGGGTCCTGCCAGGCCACAGAGTACCACTAGTGGTTTGGTGTGGCATGGGCTCATGGCAGTGGCTGGTGGAGTGCACTTGTTCTAGCCTTGTGAGCCCATGGGAGCTCTGGTAGTGTAGTGCAGTGGGGAAGGTGTGTTTGTTCCAAGGCCCCTCTCAATCAACCACTTGAGCCAAAAGGCTCAGCTTGACACTTGATAGGACCAGCCCTGGTGGGGAAAGGTGAACAATGTTGTTCTAGGCTTTCAGCAAATGTCAAAGCCAAGATGTAGACAAAGGGTATCTTAATTTGAGCAGAATATATGCAATAAGAATTTAGGGGGGAATAATAAGGTGCATCTCATGTTCTCTTGGTGGACTAGCTCCTACTATTTTTATTTAGTATGGTGATATTCAAAATCCGATCCAACAGCTCCTACAATGAGTCATTAAAATTGTATAGCAAAATATTCCCTGGCAAGCAATTTTTTTTAGATTCACAAATCAATAATCTAATAAACCATAATGGCTTCTTCAACCCTAAGCCATTATTATCCTTTGTCAAACTCCATGCGCTATTAATCTAAGGTACTCACTGCAGCCATTATGTCTACAGTGCCAGTGAATGGTGAGAGAATTTTCAGTACTGAGAGGGGTGGACTCCATACTATGTTTTTGAGATGTGAACTCCACAGAGCAGCAACAACTATGGTCACCAAAATAAAAGCTCTCCTGGTTTTATTTCAGTAAAACACAGTCTAAAAACCCAGTCCACAGTTTCATATTTGAAAAGTAAAATACAGCAATTCAACTCACCTTTTATTAAATGATTACAATAATTCCAGCTCATCTAGCACTTTCTTTAGCATTACAGAACCTCATTATCCATCAATATAGGTTAAACATTTGCAAAAACTGTTTCAATAATTAAAGCCTGCAGAGACTCGAGTATAATAAAGATTTGAAAGGAAAAAAGTGCACTTTGAACTCACTCAAAGAACTCGCAAACGTACTTAATTGATTATTTTCATGTTTTGGATATAAAATTAACTTTCCATCTTAATACACGGTTTGCCAAATTTTAGCTCGGGGTGATGTTTTACAACTAAGTTATAAAACTCATGACTATGCCAAAGGGAATTAGAGTGGAAATGCTCACAGACGTTTGGATGGTGCTTCTATTGTGTTTTCAATGGTAACCAATATTCCAAAAATGCAAAGCAAAGCATGTTTACTAAACTACCAAAGGCAAAGCTATGAGCATTTTTGGCAGAACCAAAATTCTGCATAAAGCAAAATTTGAACAAATTTGGGGATTCTTTCTGAGGGGATGTTTCCGAGAAATTTCATGAAAAACCAAAGGTGTTTTGGATCGGATGACTGACCATCTGAGACAGAGGTTTCAACCATTCCCTATGGCTAGTAATAGGCAATTCCTAAGAAATTGGCTCAAAGTGACCAGTTTCAATGTGTATATGGCATCTATGTGTGCAGGAGATCAAATGTGGGGGAAGCTTCCTCATGGAGAATGGGATGTCCCTATTTTCATCTGAAAAATGTTGGAAATGTATGGGGCCCATCCCATCATGAATATTCGGGGAGAATATTCGGGAAGAATATTCGGGGAGAATATTGCCGTAAAAGGCCAATTCAGTCAGGGCTGTCTTACAATGCTTCCCCAAATGTTCATGGTAGGAGCGAATCTATTTCTAAACAGTATCACTTCCACACGTTTGCCCAAAATTCTGTTATGTGGCATTCTCAGATTAACCTGCAAACGTGAAAGAAGTCTCCAGACAGGGATGCCGAGTATAGGGGGCAGAAGGGGCTTCAGTCCCCCCAATATTTGGAGGCAGTGGGCTGTATCATCCAATATTGAGGGGGTTGCCACCCCCTGCCTCCACCAGGCACCCCAGCCTCTGCCCGGTAGCCCAAGAGCCAGGCCGGGGCTGGATCAAGCAAGTGTGAAAATTGCCCTCTGCCTCTCCCTCCCCCACTGCTGGGCAGCATCACGTGACAGGGCACTTTCAATGTGGGGGGCAAGTCGGCACCCCTGTCCCCAAATATGGGCTTTAATGGTATATCAATGTATACTTATATGTGTATTTCCCCCCTCAAAACAAACATTGAAATCCGTGGACTGCAGTTCCCATCATTCTTAATCCCTGACCATATTGTCAGGGGTTTATGAGAGATGGAGTCCGGCAGTGTGCGATGGGCTACCAGTTCTTACACCTCTTGATGCATTAATGCTGTGACATTGAGGAAACATTGCAGAACAATGAATAAAGTTGGTCAATGCACTCTTTTTGCTTCAATTAAATGTTGCACAATGCACTTGCAAAAAAAATTAAAAATCAACCAGCCTAGAGAGCCCTTGTGATTCTCAGATGAAGGTAGTATATCAATTAAAGAGAGAAATAGAGGCTACCTCTTCCCTCCAATTTGGTGGGGAGAAAATAATTTTTCAGTTGTCTGCTTCACAAATTAAGGAATTCTAAAGGATTGTCTGAAGTTGTGCCTCTGCTTCTCAAAGTGCTTTGTTTTTGAGATATCATATACTTTTGATTGCAAGCTAATCATGTCCCCTAACCAATAGGAAATAATAATAATAATAATAATGGTTTTATTTAAACCACACCCGTCTGGTAGGGCTGCCCCATTTGACACTTGCAGTCATCCTGTGGGATGAAACAGGCTCACTCTTCACTCTCGCTCCATAAGAAGTTCATGCCAGATTTCTGAAGCAAATATATCAGAGGAAACTTTCAAAAAACAAATTTGTCCTCATCAGTATCGTTCAGAGATTTTATGCAGTTTTCCTAAGAAAACCACCCAAG